ACGTGTACTCCAGAGCACTGGAGAAGACGTGATCCTTGTGAGGGATTGGGACAGGTTGACAAGGCACCAGAGAGAATATTTTTGTAGAAGATACAAGTTGCTACGTCCAAGTGAGTATGGAACAGAGGAAGACCCCAAGACGTATGCACCGAGTTTTGAACCCGGAATTTCTCAGTGGATGGAGTTGGCACAAACTGGATACCAACAGTTTTTCTTCATCCGTGCTTGGGAGAATGGACGCCGCTGGGCTGAAATTCTGACAGACCATGGCATTGCTTCTGTAGAGCTTTCAAGCTTCTTGGATATGTGCAGAGATCCCAAATTGCTGGGTTGGAACTTTGGTATTCCAGAACCTCAGTGGGATAATTTTGGCAACACAGTGGAGGAAGCATTCAACAATCCTTTGTTTGCCAAATTGCACTATCGCTTCAAGCAGGAGGAAGAGATTGGTCGTGTCATGCACCTTGTGTCAGAACTTGTTTGTGACTTTTTCATCAAGGTGCTTCCCAAGTGGGTTCTTGACCACTCGATCTTGTGGGAAGAGTTTATGATTTTGGATCCAGACACAAATCTCCCAGCTTACAAGACTTCAGAGGCCGCCTTACAAGCAGAAAGGAATCCAGAGAAGTATCATACACATTTTGCTATGAACTTCAAGAAATTCCGTTTTTCTGCAAGGATTGTGTGGTATTTGATTGACCGTGACAGGAATCATTTAGAGAGTTTTCTTCACAACTCCAACAGTAGATTTGTGCAACATGCATGCTATCAACTTCGTGAGTATGTTCAGGCGCGTGTTGCAGTTTCTGATCCCTTGTATGAGATGATCAAGAAGGAAGAGTTTGAACGCCAATACAATTCCAAGTTTTTGGAGGCGATTTCTTGCTCTCGTGTTGTAGTTGAGCCTGTAAGTTCAGGGACGTATGAGCCATCATCGAAGCTGAACTTAAAGGTACTACAAGACATCCTGAAGGGTATCTTCAAGATCCAGAAGGATGAGGAGCTTGCCAAGGAACGTGATGAAGAAGAAGAACAGGCAGCTCAAAACATCTCATACCTGTTGGCAGATGATATGGAGCTTGATTTTGATGATGATGATGTTCCAGTATGGCGCTCCATTGTCGACAAGTATAGAGGAGGTGATCAGGTGCTACAGGGAGAAGCTGTGAAGATTACTCACCTGTTCAGGGATCAAAAGGACAATGAGAAGGCGACAGAAGCTTTCAGTTCAAAGAGGACAGATTTTTATGAGACCTCAGGACCTCTTCCAAGAACCGAGGGAGAAAATCTTGTAGAGGACTTGCTCACCAAGGATGTTGCAGAACAAGCTTTTGAAGCAGGTGAAGAAGTTCCTCCTTATACAAGAGTCTCCACTATCACTGGTGAAGTCTATACTGGAAGTAGAACACTTCTAGAAGATGAGAATATGGAAGAGGAAGTTCCTGAAGAAGATCCTGCAGTTGAACCTGGAAAGGAAGAAGAAATATTTGATGAAGATGCAGGTGTTTTTCCTTCAGAGGAACCAAAGATGGAAGTTGACCAGGAGGAAGCCAAGGAAGAGTCAACACCACACTTTCTGTCAAGAGAGATAGGTGAGGACTCGACTGCATCGCACTTACCATCAGGTGAGATGGATGCTAACCTTGATGATACTTCAGGTCAGCGGAAATCTAAGAAGAGCCGCCTGAATAAGATTCCTGATCCTCATTTTCATGAAGAAGTTCAGGATGATGCAACCATGGAAGAGAAGAAAGAGGCGGTGGAGAAAATAAAAGAGGTCAGAGAGGATGATGGAGAGAAGAAATTGGAGGCTGAAATCCAGGAATCTTTTCCATCTGAAGTAGTTGTTGAAAAGGATACAACAAAAGTTGACAATACCTATGAGTTGCACACTTCACCTTTAAAGTTGCTTGGAGAGCTTACAGGAGATCCAGGTATTGGCTTTTATCAACTATGCTTCAGGGAAACTCATGCAAGATTGCTGAATCATGTTTGTTTCAGAAAAGGTGAGATTTCCCATCCTCATTATCAGTCAAGGATCAACGAGAATGATTTTGTTCGATCCATTCGCAATATCTGTCCAGTACCTCCACCTGATTGTTATGAACATGAACCAGAGCATGATTTGAAGAGATTCTTCATCAATGATGACCGCATCATTTATTTGGATGGCAGGTATCAGGTCGATCCAAAGGCCCTTGAAAGGGCAGGTCATGCTCGAGAAGAATTGGAGGATACGAAAAAGGAACTCAAGAATGAACTGGAATCCTATGGTCCCAAGGGACCCAGTTGGGACTTTGTCACCTTCTATGAAGAGCTGTGCAGAAGGTTCCTCAAGGGAAGAATAGAAGAACCATATGGAACTAACTTATTGGCCAGCTCAGAGTCCTTGACATTTTTATCCTGGAACTATGGCAACATGGTTCGTGGTCAGAAGTACACCACACCAAGGTTTCTCCAAGGACTTGATAGTGCAATGAGGCCACGCAAACAGAGCGCCATGTCACTTCAGAATGAGCAATTTGAGAACAACCTTTTCTTCAACATGCTCTTCTTTTTACGTGCACATGTCGTGATTCTCCAGGAAGCTCGTCTTCTTGTTCCTGCCAAGGAATTTATTGAGCAAAAGAATTGGACAGTTTGTTTCAATGATTGGGAGAATCTTGCAGTGATGGCTAGATTGGCACCAGGTGGATATGTCAAGATCATTGCTGGACATGATCAAGAACTTGGTCACTGTGAACAGCGTGATGTAACTTGGGCTATCTACGAGATTTGTTTTGGAGAAACAAGGCCTCGTCAAGATTTCAAGGATGCAGACTTTGAATTTGATGACTATGGTCCTGAGGACAAGCGTGTTCCACTTACTCGAGCGAACATGCATACCATCAGAGTCTGTAATTATCATGTTGATACACACCGTGCTGTGGATGCCCACCTACTGACAGGAGAACAGACAGCATTGATGCTTTACGAGTGTTTTGTCTATGAGGTGGACATCATTTCTGGTGATGCAAATAGTTTGGCCTACAGAATGTCTGGGTACAAAAGGCAGCCAATGGCTAACTACTATTACAGCACCATGCAGCATTGGATCCGCAGGTTTTCAGAAGCTCGTGTCAAAGCAGATCCTGGTATCAAAGCACCTATTCCCAGAACATTTTACAGTTCAACTTCACAGGTCCTCAAGAAGTGTGAAGTTTACTTTGATAAAGTCTGGGAAGAATTTTCTACTGTTGAAAAAGAAGAATACCAAGGATCACAGCTTGGCGATACATGTTTGTCTACCATTGTTGAATGGGGTCATTCAATGAGTGAAGAGGAATATGAAAATTCCACAGTGAGCACGAAGGAGTTCATCTGTAATTTTTCAGAGAACTTTGCTATGATTGACACAGAGGTTATGTGCTCAAGGCCCACTGACGAGGACAGTCATGGTCCAATGTTTATTTCACTCAGACCAGCTTCCTTTTCATCTGGAGACAGAAGACAGTATCGCATGGGAGCAACGCTTCATGAGGCGAACGTGCGGAGGAAGGAGAGACAGAAGCAGAATAGAAAGAAAGGAAGGCCGCCAACTTCTGATCAAGCAACTTCATCGTTTGCAGCGGCATAATTCCTGAGCGAAGGCTGAGATTTAAATGATGGCTAGGAAGTGAAGAGACTTCTGGTTACAGTTGATACTTTGCTTCCAGGCTTGACTTTAAGTTGCCAGGCTGAAGTTTTAATAAATTCTGGTTTGCAATGAGGAGAAACTTTTTATCAAAGAAGATACTCCTGCATTCCAGGTTTATATGCTTTAGCATGTAGATAGGTATGGACAGTTTTACAGAACTGATGATATCTATCACCACCGCTCTTATGAAGTGACCTCTAATGGACAACCAGTCATGGTTGATGATTAAGTCATTTCATGATTTGCAATTGTAGTGCAAGATTTTTGTACATACATTTGCCGGTATCTCCTTCTTGTGTTTTGATGTGAATGTGAAAGAGAGTCCTTTTGATGCAGTTTATTTTGTCTGTGAATGAAAGCGGTCGAGACCACGTCACGAGAAGATTATTCCTCGGACCGTACGCTCCTTGCATTTTGCAAGGCATCTTAATTCATTGCAATTTGTGCGGTCTTGAATTTTTAGTTTTTTGTTACGCGAGTGTCGTTTGATTCTTTTATAGGTCTCTGTAGAGAAAAAGCCGCTTTCCCTTTTAGTTTGATTTAGCTCAGGCCATAAAGAGCTAGTGAGCGCCGGTACATGGTATCTCCGCCTGCGAAAAGTACAGTCTCCAGCCGAGGTACATTATCATTTTGATTTTGTACTTGAGGTGAGTCAGCTATTGCTCCCTCACTGTATTTAGTAGCTATGAGATTACCTTCTCTGAAGTGTGAAACACACAGGATTAGGTAAGTACATGGCACCGTAGTTTTCTTTTAAGTTGTCAGAGCTAGCTGGACTGATTTAGCCTTGCAGTAGAAAAAAGAGTATGCGACATACGCAATCAGCTAGAAGTGGACATGAATCTTGTGCCTGCTGAAAAGTAGAGCCTACCTGTACAGGGTTCCACTCCAACAGCTGATATAGTGTGTCCATGCTTGACTGCTTCAAGGCTCAAAGAGCAAGAGGATAAGACTCTGCGCATAAAAGACACTAGCGGTCTGCACCTCTACCGTGTACGCCCTAGTCACTCTTTCACCCCCCCCCCGACGAACAGAATCAACTCTTACAGGACCAAACTCAATGCACAATCCCAACTCCTGATTGTAATACATTTTTGCTAAAGCAAGGAGAACTCAGGTAGCTCAAGCTACCTTTCGTGACATCTCCATATTGTCCATCCAACTCCTATCCTTCCATCATCATCTCTGCATAAATCGCAATATCCTCCTCGTTCCATTAAATCCTATTCATACTCTGCTGCATCTGAAAACGAGCCACCCAAAGTCTCCAAGCCACCCACATCGATCGCCCAGCTTGCCGAACCCCAGCGGGAACCCGCCAAACCTATGTGGGAACTTGCCGAGCCCCAGATCTCCATGGCGTGCACATCGGGCCACCGAAAATGGGGCCCAAAGGCTCTGACCGGAAGGATGAAACCGCTCGCTCTAATCAGGTACGGATGAAAGAAAACGCCTTCACCTCTGAAACAGGGGATGCCTTTGTTCACCAACTCAAGATGCTGATGTGTTATTCTTTTCTTTTTCTGTGTGTCTTGTTTGGCATGTGGAAGAGAAACTCCAGAGTTGATGGAGGGACCAATGACTATGTGGCATGGCAAGAAACTTTCAGCACTGTGGCAACATGATACAGCATGGCAAACGCGGCTTCGCACGGCTTGAACCATGTGCGTTGAATTCAAGTGCGACTGCATCAACATCACGAACAAAGCTCCAGAACGTTCACATGAGCTCGATGGCCCGAGTCCAGAAATGTTCACGTCCACGTTGAATCCTTCACCCACAAAGGAAGCACCGCAGGATGTAGGACTCCATAGGACTCCGTAGGACTGGGCTTTGGGGCGAGTCTGGCACCTCCAAGTTCCACAATGGCTGTTTCCAGGTCCTCGTCATCCGGTCGCCTTTCGCGGCGGAGCCAGTGACTTGTTCTTCCACATCTAGATCAGTTTGTTTCGAAACAAAAGGGAGAAGGTTCCCCAATCACTGGCGATCTGATAAAATGGCGAACCACTAGTCCTATTGCCCTTTATGGAATTTCTTTCCTGACTCCAACAGAGTCCTAGTCTTGAGAAGGTCCAGTTGCAATGCTACGGACCAACGTTCGACTGGCTCAAAACCAAACATTTCCGCGAGAACAGCTGCCAATTCTTCCAACACACCTGGTTTCAACCAACTTGATTCCCGTATGATGTTTATCCATCACATTGACCCATCACCATTTGCAGAATTGGTCCAAGTCCATCCGAACCGTCTCTTCTTGTTTTCTGTTGTGTGCCACTCCGCCGCCCTCACAGGACGAGTTGATCAGCCACAACGATGCATCGGTGTCTCTGTCTCAGAGACGTCCCAGTGAAAAGTGAAGCCTCGAAAAATGCAAGCTTCTTGCTACTCGTAGCGATGCACCTTGTTACTAGTAGTGATGCACTTGCTACTAGTAGCTTCTAGCTACTAGACAAACTTGGCAAAGTCCAAAATGTCCAAGACATAACGATCTGGGCAAGTGGCTAAGGGACCCTGGGACTCTCAGAATCCTTGGACCTCGTCCTTCTTCACGGGGGTCGGACGACCTGAACCAAGCCCTTTCCACTTGAGGCCCAGATTCTTAGGGTAACCAGAGACCAGCGACATCTCGTCGGGGAACATTCGTCATCGGCATCGATGGCGCCAAAGCCACTAACTGTTGAGCAAAGAGGTATGGCTTGATGGTTGGAGAAATGAAACGGCACTGTCAGGATGTTGTGGATGGAACATCGATTCAAACACAAATATATTTGTATGGGGCTTAAATTCGCTGGAGGGCGTCTGTGAGAAAGAGCGAATCGATTAAACGCATGCAAATTGTAAAATAGTGCTTTCTGCACGACTCCAAGAGATGAGGGAATCTCATCCCAAAAAGGTCCGAACTCCGGCATCGGTCGAGTGTCCAGGCGGTCGAAACCAGTTCAGATTTTTCAACGGTCGCTCATCGCATGTTTCCGGGGGTTTACGGCCAACCCTTATGGTCAAATGCCAGGAGAACACAAATACTAGGCCATTTTTGGGTCATTAGCTAAATGTTGGTTTCAAAGGCTACCAAATTTGAACAAGTCCACAGACATGAGCGCCAGCCAAATTCCACACTCAGCCGAGCAAGAAGCGAATTAGGGCTCAGCTTCTCTCATCCACGAAAACTGTCCTGCCAAGACTGGGTCTGAAGTTCAGTGGGCTTCAACAACTGGTTGGTGGCTTAAACTCACTCGAAAAAATATCAGTCAGTTCACAAAGATACAGTAGGCTCATTCAACCGCCACCCTTCTTCATACCCTGTCACAAGGTTCTTGATTGATAGGGTCCATCAAACTATCGTGGGACCTGCACTTCTGGTAGCAACGACCGCCTTCCTGTAGCCCACACGAATGCTCTTGAGCAATCACAGCGGTCTGTCACCAATGGCCAATGGCTCTGTGATGCATGCGATGGGTTGCAAGTATCATTGCTGCGACTGCTGAATCCCCAAAAAAGTAGCCATATACCAGCGACCGGTTTATAAACCTGATGAGAGACCCCTGTGTCCATCTAGTGAATGGATCTTGCTGGAGATAGTTACTGGTGGCTGCGACCGAACACCTTTGCTGGGAAACTGCACTGATTCCAAGTTCCATAGGTCCCTTTCCAGCAGCCGTACTCTTTTCAACGCCACTCCAAGCGGCCCCATGTCGCTACATCCTCCTGCAGGTCACGATGGCTAGGACCCAATGAGAACCACGGAATTCACTCCACCGGAAGCATGGAACTATACCAAAAGCACATCTGGATAAATAATGATAAATAGCACATCTAGGACTGGCTAGGGCCATTGCTGCATCAGGACTGGCTAGGGAGCAAATCCTCCAGCTAGACTTCTTGTTTGGTCTTTTGGGAGGTCCGACTTATGGCACCACTTGGTACAACTGGGGTACTGAAGGCTCCCCTTGCTGATAAGACTGTTGGATCAGCTTGCGCGCCCTGAATGAATTTAAATGAATTTAATTCGTTCTCCTGGTCACCAAAGGTCAAGGAAAGCTTTGTTCCTGACCTCAGTGGTTCAGCAGCACGTGCCGGCAAATTTTTATTACTACTCGTAAACTCATCGGGAGTCCTTTGATCTGCCATCTTCATAGATATATCAAATTGAGATCATTGCAGTAGTAGCGATGTTAGGTTCACAAGATATAGACCTGTGTGGACTGTGATGCCGGTCGATCCAGAAAAGTCTATACATCTTCAAGATGTTTCTCGAGTGAATATGCGGCTCATGCTGCTCATGCTTAGCCTCCAGCCTTTCTCCGCAAGGACACCAAGCAAGGCACCATGCCTGGCGGCTTAAGTCCAATGTCCATGCCTGTCTGCCAATAAATCTTCTCCTCATACAATACAAAACTTCACTCAAGCGACCATTAAATCATTTGAGACTCAAACCGCTGTCTCACCCTCACAGCAAACAGCACATGACATGAGTTATAAGTTATATAATTTTCGGCCGTCGGAGGGATCATGATATGTCCAAAATATGGGTCGAAACAAATACGTCTCCCTCCCGAAGCACATCCAGCAATTCCACATCCCCGGTCAGCGCACCTGGCATGGCAGCCTCAATAGGGTCAGGCGCCTGGTGCTCGCGGCCACTAGTGAGGGGTCAAGGAACATCTACAAGAATGCTTGTAGCGGTAAGGAGGAGTAGGTCTAGTTTCTGGTCAATGTTCCCATACCAGAAATGGCCCGCAAACTCAGGGTTTCATGGATTTAAACTTTTACAGTAAGTGAGTCTGTGTTGTTTGGTGATTATTGGACTTTATGATCTGTCTATTGGTAACAACAAAGGTATTCTCTTTGATGCGTCCTTAATATTTGATCGTTGCACCAATTGAGACTCCCACTCCGGCGTCTATGCCGAGCACTGCCAAATCGTTCCAAAGCCCGACAGTTGAACTAGTAGCTTCTTGTTACTAGTAGCGATTTGTTCCTAGTAGTAATGCACCTTGTTACTAGTAGCGATGCCCTTGTTAATGCTCCTAGTTGTGCACTGCCGAGTGCGGCTCCGCTCTTTTACAGCCGCGCACGTGGTAGCGTGGGCCGCGCAACCTGTGGCGCCACCGGTGCGCCCCCGTCGCGGAGGCGTATAGCACTGGGGAAGCCATGAGCCTCCGCGTGGGCCTTGAACCACATGCCTGGCAGCATCTGTGGATGCCGGGCTGGAAAGTGCCGTGGAAAGCGATGTGAGAGGGGAAGATTGAATAACATGGGTGCTTTAATGTTTTACAGGTACAGCTGATTTGCCCTTTCATTGCTGTGGATCCACCATAGTGTATTTATATATACTTATATATATATATATTATATGTTTTCAAATAAACTTATATATATGTATATATATATATGTATTGCTTTCAGTTGAATCGACATTCTTTTCCTACTTGTTAAAACCATGTACCCAAATGATCCCAAATGTACTTTCAAACGGTGCCGTTGCGACACATCGCTTGAAACGCCGAGCCTTCGGGGTAGTGTCGCGTCACGCCATCGAAGAGGGTCGCCAAGCGTTGGGTCGCCGCCATGGAGGCCTCGATGGACTGGTTTATGACCTGAAGCCAAGGAGTTTGGACATGTTTTCATGGTTCATGTTCGAAAGATGCGTGGTGCCTGAAATCGCTCACGTTGGTCCTTTTCATGGTGACCTGATCCGATTTGTCCCGAACCTTCATCTCCTCGCTTCTGCAAGGAATGTGTACACACCGATTCTGTACGAGGATAATGTGTGCCACGGATCATGGAACGCGCCGAGGGGCCATCTTCTGCATGATGAGCTGATTCCGTGGAATGCTGGACATCCGCTGCGCCAGCTCTTCAGTCCTCTGATCCAACCTCAGTTCGTCTGGAGTCACACCCTTTTGGTCCAAGGATGTCCAAGGAAAGAATTCAATGGGAAACACATATCATGTTCTGGGTTTGAAGTGACTACTGTATCCTGTCCAAGTTTAACACCTGGACCGTGGCAGAACTCATTTACCATGGAATGGGAACAACCAATGGCGCATGCGATTTCGGAAGAGACCTCTGGAGACGGGGCTATGCATTTGATCCCTATGTCGATGGGTCATGGTTCTCTTCTCACCCTCCCATTTACCCCGAATCCCACCAAGATGTTCAATGAATGGTGTATTAACTGGTCTTGCTTCAATTCCTGATTCTTACTTCAATTCCTGGCAAGATCTCCAATCAACTGGATATCACTGTGCAATCTCTCGAATTCGAATTCGGTCAAGGTTTCGTCTTCAGCGACTCCAGAAAAACATCCGTCGACCTCGCCCAGTGGCTCCAGAGCCGGGACGGCTTGCAAGACCTCTGATGGGAAGCGTCAGGAGGTCTGAGACATTCTCAGACATCCCATGTCACAAAGACAAAACTCAAATTACAACAGTACAAACATGTACAAACTATGGTTTTAAGATGTTTTTTATTGAAATGACATATGTGAAAATCCCTGAGAGTACAAAGCATGGTCTACACTACATAGTCTGCATGGTCACTTCGAGATTCTGTTCATGGACCATGCTGCCATTCATCAAGCTACAAACCGTGGTGATTGATCCTGGGTGTTTTTGTACCTACGACGCCTTGCTGTTTTGAGATCTTCACACGGTCTTGACCCATGCTATGGGTGCTGCATGGCACTATTCCTGAATTGAAATCAGTGGTGCTAGTGGCAGCAGATGTTAGTCTTTGCAAGAAATCACCAATGTAACACATATATATATACCTATATATATACACAAATATGTCTGAATAAATCTAATAATACTATAGTAAATATAAATCTATATAATACTGAATATGTTTATTTGGCCGGTATCTCTAAGGCTTCAAACTGACCCCTAAGGCCTTGTGTCTGCGCGATCTTGAGTAACTCGAGTATATCAACTTTTTGATTAATTTGAGCAAGTTGAGTAATCTGAGTAACGTGGTCTATCGTTGACCAACTTGAACCATCACCAAGTCACCAGACCCATCTTTGCCGCTTCAGCCCCGGTGATCAAATCCTTGGCTTGGGCTGGAGTGGTACATGCATTGTTTTCTCTACTGATATGTACATTAAGGACATGTTTCGGCGCCAAATAAGTCACTGCCCTCCTGTAAATAGACTGGCTGACAGATTCAGGTCGACGAGTTCCCAGACCCAGTTCCCCGTTCCCAACGGTGTAAGAATGTGCAAAACATCCTGGGTTTAGGGTGTTCTGGGATACAGGTTTTGGATGGATAGTAGATGACAGTATATGACACTTCAGTGGGGGACTTCCAGGGCAAAAAAAAATCAGCAGGGCCACAATAGATTGTGAACAGGACGTCAGGAAGCCTCAAACGTGTCAGAGCCAAGCGACAAACCGTCGCGCTTCGCAAACCAAAACACATTCCGGAGCTTCGTGGAGCATCTATCCAACTTGCAAAAACGGCGCAATAAACATTTCTCCTGATTTCGTTATAGGTGATAAATTGTACAAATCAACTATATATGATCATCCAATTCTGAAGAATGCCAAGAGAGACTTCATTTTTCATCCGTTGCTCGTGGCGTTCCAAAAACCGCCGTTCGTCGAGCGTCCCCCGTGAGGAGCATCCGCTTGGCCTTCTCCGGACCCAAGCGGAAGCTCCACATGGCGGTGGTGGGGCAGCCCCAAACCTTTGTGAAACCAAATGAGAAGTCAGTGAAACTGGGTGAGGGGTGATGTACGCGGCAAGATACATCAAAATACAGGGCCAGTGAGGGGTCAACAACGGAAGTCACAAACAAACCGTTCTAAAGTTCTAAAGGGTGAAACATCGTGCTAACGTTTACTCCAGGTTCTCTGTATTCGTATTGGATGAGCCATTAAGACAACAAATTGAATCTCAGGTTCAAAATGCAACATATTCAAATCATTCCAAATTTGTTCTACAAAAGCTGTGAAGAATAATATCCTTGACACTCCTTGACCATTGGGTCCTGCGTCCTTAACCAATGCTCTTTGCCACTCTGGCCAGGGCATAAATCGGGCTCCTGGTCAACAGAATTACTGTAATTGTATCCTCCCTGAAATAGTCAGTCTTGTGGTAGTGTTTTGCTTGGAAGCACGCAAACAAAGCAACACGTGGACGTGGTCAGGCCGAATGGGTTGGAGCACCCCAAATCCCAAAACACTCCAATCTACATGGCAGGCAATTGACCAAACCGTTCACAACTCTTTTGATCCATGGACACACTACCATGCTCAAATACAGTACCTCGAGTAAACATGCTTTCAGATCGCGAAAGTCGGTGGACATCACCCGACGTCCTGGTGATGCTTTGTTTTTCCGTTTCCAGCCTTCCGGCGCAAGGCTGGCTCCATTAGCACAAGCAACCCGAGCGGGTGGGTATCCAATTTTTGCGTCCTGCCGGTCGATCGGTCGATGGGAGAGAGAAAAGCTGCGAAACCCGTGTCAGCTGAGCATGTCAACCACAAAGAACTGGCTGAAAGCAGCAGGCGTGTGACTAAATTACGATATTGGATCGACTCTACTGACTTACTCCAATGGGAGTTTGCTATATTAACGACAAGAAAATCGATATACAGAATGTATAGCATACAGATGCACAATGGATGCTTCGAAAATGCATGGCAGGAGCAGTGCTCCTCCGCGCTCCTCCGCCATGATCACCACGTCGCAGCAAAGCGCAATGTCGCCTCGGTAGGGTTATGATTAGGACTGTGACCTGTGCGAACGACGTGGTCAGCATCAGCTGTTGGAGTCGGATGATCACTTACAGCGGTTTCAGAGTAGATGGCACAATCCCCACAAGGTTGTGTTTATATGGACCCCCACTTGGACCCCCATTATAAACAAGCCATCTTTGGGTTTGTGCCATCTACCCTAAAACCACTGTATTAACCTCCTTTTGCTTCTTACCACCACAACCAGGTCTGGCCAAGTCTCTACCACCTGCGACAGCGAAGCCATGCACCTTACCTCAGCAAAGCCATGAAACACTGATGCCATGAAACGCCTCATTTTCGACAGGTCACAAATGGTCGGCTTGTAGGAATGCCAAAGCGACCTGCAAGTCACACAAAACAGCGCCTTCTGCGAGAGGATTCTTCAGAACGTCAAAGAAGATATTCCATGAAATGTCCAAGGTTGGCGGTGTTTCTCACACCTGGAAAACGGCCTACACATGGCACTTGGACAAAGAGACAAGAAACATAATATGTGCGAACAAAACACATGAAGTCTTGCGTGTTTGCCCACATGAATTGGAAATCCACTGTGGGATCCCAAGGCATTTGCTGATTAGGTGAAGCTTCTCCTCAGTTACTGAGTCGGTTCAGTAGAATTTCAAAGAATTTCAACCTGGAGCTGAAAGAACACTCAAAACTAAATCAACTATGCAAGAGTATCTATAACAAACAACAAAAACATCTCTTTAGTAAAAATAAACATTGTACGGTTGTACGCAGTGAGTCTCCGCCTTCTTACCTGCAAAGCTTAAGAAACCAACTCTAAAAAAGCGGAGCAAAAAACACACAAACAAACGATCCGTCCCTATTCATGGCCAGTGTCCCACAGCAGATCCTTCCGAATACTCCTTCAAGTCGTAGCCAGCACAAAAGGCACGTCCATTGCCGCACAGGACGATCACATGGACCCGGTCATCAGCATTTGCAAGGCTCACGCACTTCGCAATCTCCTGGAGAAGCTGGAAGACCAGGGAAGTCCCAAATATGTTGGAGCTGAAAGGGTGAGTCCCAAACACGTTGGTTTGAGAATCTAGAAACCTGCGGTATGTTGAAGTGGCAAGCTTCCGTTGAGGTATGTTGAATGTTACGATGCCGTCTGACATGTTTTGTTGTTGTTTTTCAGTGAGCTAAGCGAGTTTGAAACAAACACTAAAGACACTCATGGTGGGGGAGAACTTCTGGGCTCCTGTGGCATGCGATCGTCGATGGCATTTAGCCGCTCCGGCCGATCCAAGGTGATGTAGGCGATCCTCGAAGAGATGTCCACTGCATACTGAACGCTTTTGAGATCGGTCGCCATGGCGGGTTCTGAGTCCGAAAATCGAATCGGGCTCTGCCTTGCCTTTCTTTTTCTGCGAAGAAGGGAGTGTTGCTTGCAGAATGGTTGTCGGCTGTCGGCTCTTGAAAAGACGCCCGGTTGCTAGTTGTTGCCTCTGCTCTGCCAACCTGTGATAGGGACCAACATGAGTGACCGGTGATGCACATCATCCAGGCTTAAAGGGTTCTGCATAGTAGTCTGAAATGCAAACATGGACTGGAGAAACATGCATTGATTCGGTCATCAGCTGGTGTGCTCCTACGACTCCCTCATCTCTTCCAACTCATGAATCAACCTCGTAAGGAGCGGGAACATGATAGAGCCAAGGGGCGGGAGCCAAGGGCCGTAGGGTCATGATGGAACCGATGAGTCAGACCCAACGCTTCTTGGAACCTCTTTGAGGATCCAAACATTGCCTTTTGAGTCGAAACATCATCGAACAATTTTCTACTTGGTACTTGCAGTGGATCGACTATCCATTCTCATCTATATATATGCAATAGGAACAAACAAGGACGCCTCCCCCCGGACGCCCGCCTCCCCAGGACTGAATCGAGTCATCTTCTTGGGCATCGACGGCAACATCTGCAGTCACGCGCCATCGATGGCCAAAAGCAGAGCGGCGGAGCGCCACGTGGCCAACAAAAAAACATCCTTGTCCGTTGAGCATCCTGTGGGTTTCGTGGCCATGAGCGCCATGGCCCAGTAAGGTTGATGGGTTGATTGGTTGCATGGGTCACAAATGATCCCAATCCGCTTGGGACGTTTGGGACTCGTCTCTGAGACGTCTGAGCATCCCGGACGTCGAAATCCACTCTGCCGTCAGCACCCTGAAGGATCGGTGTTTTACACCGGTCCAGTGGTCGAAGAGAACTGAGAAGGACATGAGAATTCAGTAACAAGGGCCACGCTACTAGGAACAAGTGCATCGCTTCTAGTAACAAGTGCCTTACTAGTAGTAACAATGTTCGCTACTAGGAACAAGTGCATCCATTCAGAGCCATTGCTGATTTTTATCTTGAAGTCCTCTTGATTCTTATCATCCTATGGCCTCTGTGTGAGTCAAACTGTCAGTTGGGGTGGAGAGGAGTAGAACCGTTAAGGAGAAGGCACAAGAAATTGTTTTGTCAACCTGATATTACGAACAATGCACTGGATTTGGACCCACGAGAAGCAGCATTCATCAGTGATGTGCCCCAAATCTGAGGATGCTCAAACCACCACGGATTCTGTCTGTCATCCAGGATAGCCTGTGGCAGCTTGTACTTCTCCACCATCACGTGCGGAGCCTTTCAGGGCGTTTTGGTTGAACGCCTCTCAACGCCGGCTTTTTCAGACTCCCCCGAGAGGACACCCAGACACCAGGGAGAGCCAATGTTCCATCTCTTTCACGCTTCCGACCTCCAAAAACCTCGAAAAGAGAATCACAAAAGGGAGAGAGAGAGAGAGAGAGACCCCACGTCATCCAGATACTCTCCTGCGGTTTCAGCAAGTGCCCCCTCAACATTCTCAAGAGTTCCTTGGACATGTTTGCTTTGTTGCACCTTTTCCACTACAGGGCAGTGAGTCTGCCTGCCATGATTGAAGCAACATGGACACATCCAAACTTGTATGACTCAAGACAAACTTGTGGAGCTACTAGGTGTTCGTTCATGTTTCCGATTCGGTGAAGGCCTTTTGTGAGACTCTCAGATTTTGTTGGACAAACTCACCTTTACCTTGTATGCATACATCATAAAAGTCTAGTTTGCAGCCGTTCTTGGCCAACCCTTATGGAAGATGCACATGAAAAAGAAAGGACGCTGCTGGTCTGCATGCTCTGCTCAGATCCCATCGTCTGCTCAGCCTGTTCTGCAGTCCACACCATCTTTTCCACATCCCAGCCTCGAACGAAACAAACAAAAACATTGCCTATGGACCCTGCAATCATACAGTCATACATCACCAGCAGCTTCATCATCCCAAATCCATAATCCTTTCTCGTTGTCTTTGTCACAACAGTGCTCTTCCTCTGCTGAGCCTCTATACAAAGAAAGAAACACAAACACACAAAGGAGTAGCCAAGCAGTGCAGCATCATGACTGTGCGGGTGTTTTTCAGCACCCATCATGTCCAATGCTTGGGCGCTCCCGACGCCGCACTGGCAGCACCACGCGGTCGGACCTCGATGTTCCACAGCATACCCAGGAAAGCAGGTGGATCACCAGACCCTTAACACGCATAGTATCATGTGATAAACAGACCCTGTGATTATCTGCGATTATCACAGATGATCACGCTTCTTCAAAACAAATGATTGTGCTAAGTATGCATCTGAGTTTTTTTTTCAGAACACGGGTCATCTAAAATCCGGCACAGCAATCGACTTGGAGCTGCAACATTTGGTTCCGCATCTCATGTCTTTTGTAGAAGCACCTGATCCACAAGGACCATTTCCATACTGCAGAAACTTAAACATATTCATATATATATGTATAGAAAGACAGATAGAGACACTTCCCCCCAAAAGCATGGACAGGTCTCCCCAGTTGGGTTCCAACAACACGATGAAACATCACGTCCCATCACTCGTCCATCCATCGCGATGGAGATGGACGGAAGAGTAGACTGAGTAGACGTATGGGAGACCCGGCTGGAGATCTAGGGTGATGCCTGGCAGTTGAAACTTGGTCCCCACCACGCCACATTGACCTGGAGCATCACAGAGTCAACGGGTCTTGATGAGGCAGGAGGAGCAGGGAAGATGGGTACCAAAATCAGACAATCATTGACCCAGATGGGATTGCTGTGTACCTTCTTGACTGCATGCCTTGGAATTTGTTGCAACAGTTTTATCAACACATTTTACATATTCCATCTATCGACCTCAAATCAGCTCTATATCATGGATCCATTTTGATGTCGCCTTAAAAGGAAGTATATATCATGCAGTATTGACGATTGCCGTATATTCCCAGTCACGCGCTGATATTCAAGAAGCAAAACTCGTGACCTGTGTTCCAAAGCAGAACCAGCGTATGTATATACCAGGCCAGTCCGTCCCTTCAGCTGTCTCTTCCTCAAAACCAGCGTCCATCGACCGAGGCATCCCACCATTCTCCTCGCGGACGGATGGCCGTCGATGTCGAAGGGCGAAACTCCATGGCATCCACACCGAATAGCGTCCTTGCCTTGCTCCTAAGCGATTCCAGGAGCCCCTAGTAGCTTCTTGTTCCTAGTAGTAAGGCCAGGAGC